AGTTCGAGTTAGTTTGACAAGTTCGAATTAGTTTGACAAGTTCGAGTTAGTTTGACAAGTTTGAGTTAGTTGGACAAGTTTGAGTTAGTTGGACAAGTTTGAGTTAGTTGGACAAGTTTGAGTTAGTTGGACAAGTTTGAGTTAGTTGGACAAGTTTGAGTTAGTTTGACAAGTTCGAGTTAGTTTGACAAGTTCGAGTTAGTTTGACAAGTTCGAGTTAGTTTGACAAGTTCGAGTTAGTTTGACAAGTTCGAGTTAGTTTGACAAGTTCGAGTTAGTTTGACAAGTTCGAGTTAGTTTGACAAGTTCGAGTTAGTTTGACAAGTTCGAGTTAGTTTGACAAGTTCGAGTTAGTTTGACAAGTTCGAGTTAGTTTGACAAGTTCGAGTTAGTTTGACAAGTTCGAGTTAGTTTGACAAGTTCGAGTTAGTTTGACAAGTTCGAGTTAGTTTGACAAGTTCGAGTTAGTTTGACAAGTTCGAGTTAGTTTGACAAGTTCGAGTTAGTTTGACAAGTTCGAGTTAGTTTGACAAGTTCGAGTTAGTTTGACAAGTTCGAGTTAGTTTGACAAGTTCGAGTTAGTTTGACAAGTTCGAGTTAGTTTGACAAGTTCGAGTTAGTTTGACAAGTTTGAGTTAGTTTGACAAGTTTGAGTTAGTTTGACAAGTTTGAGTTAGTTTGACAAGTTTGAGTTAGTTTGACAAGTTCGAGTTAGTTTGACAAGTTCGAGTTAGTTTGACAAGTTCGAGTTAGTTTGACAAGTTCGAGTTAGTTTGACAAGTTCGAGTTAGTTTGACAAGTTCGAGTTAGTTTGACAAGTTCGAGTTAGCGCGAGGAGTTCGAGTTAGCGCGAGGAGTTCGAGTTAGCGCGAGGAGTTCGAGTTAGCGCGAGGAGTTCGAGTTTGTTTGCGTTTTTAGAGGTCTGGTTAGTCTAGTTAGCTTTGCGATTATGCTGTCTGTTTCAGGTAATCTGAAAATCTAGCCTAAAAGGCTTTATGTTCCTACTACTACTACAACTGTTTGGGGCGTAAAAAATTGCGACCCGATCGTGAGGAGCGAAATTACGTTTAATCGCGGCACAATCCACTGTCCGTCCGCCAACCGCTCGTCATCACTCTTTTCTATACTTCTCTAAATTGAACGTGGCCACCGCTTTTGTTGCCCTTCTTAATATTATATTCTCCAACATCCTCCCCCCCCGCGAAGTCACACCGATGGTGGGGAGGACATTTCCAACCGGTATCTTTACCCCATTTCTAAGTTGAATAGTGCAGACACGCACTTTTTCATGTTTACCAGGAAATGTCTCGTCGACGACGGCGAGATTCCAGAATGATCTTGGGCGGTGGTCGTTCCTGAGAAGCACAACATCATCCAATTCAATGCCGCTCGAATCTGATGAGCGTAAGCTGTGTGCAGATTGCAGCTCCAAGAATTAGTGCTTTCTCCATCTTGTCCAAAACTTGTCTATAGAAGGGCCTTCGCGTATGTTCCACCATCTCGATAGTTCGTGGTGCGTAGACTGTTCAGGTTTCTTTAGATATGGAGGGTAAATATTTAAGTCTTCTGCCTATAAGAAAGAGTGCAGGTGTCAGAACTTCTTCAACGGGTGCGGAGCTAACTTTAGTTGGAGGGCGTGAATTGATCACGGCTTTTACTTCGATGAGAACTATCAATAATGCGTCGTACTTCAAGCAGCACTGTTTCAACGTTCCAAAGCGCAATTTTGGCCGACCTAATCAACCGTTCCCAAACACCCACCCCACCATGGGGCCCGTTCTACCGTAAATTTCCAATCAATGCTATTCGTCCGGAAGTGCTGCAATACTTGTTACAAAGCGCAACAGGACAACGGACAAAAAGGAAGACAGACACAGCGCTGTGTCGTCCTTTCAGTCCGTTGTGCAGTTGCGCGTTTTAACAATTATTATGAACCACCAACTCGTACAACTCTATACCCTCGTCTGTTACAATACGTTTGTTTTGGAGGCAAGCCTTCATATTGTCTTCAAATCTTTTGAAGCACGTTTGAACGTGCGTCCGTTGTCAAAATAGATCGTTTTACCGCGGCCTCTTCTATCAGTAAATCGTTAGAATGCTGCCAAGAAATCTGTCTTAGCTTAGCTGCAAGTCACTTCTAGGTGGTCCGCCCTGGTCACTGCGCAACTAAAGATCACAATGTAAGCTTTCGCTGTTCCTACAGTAGCACGGAAAACAATGCGCCTGGGAAGTTTATACCTAAAACAGAGGATGGGTCCGATGGTAGAACTCGATCTTTAGGCAAAGGTGAGAACGGATCACTCTCCGCTTTCACAAATAATCGCTTGCAAATCATGCACCGATTAATACCCTTCTTGACTGCTTAACGAGCTCGAAGAATCCGGAAGGTGTCCCGCAACTGGTTTAGCGTTCCTCTCACTCCAGCATGCAGCACTTTTAGGTGCTCGCGGTGAATTAGTAATTTGGTGAAGGCATGGTTGAGAAGAAAAATAATGGGGTGTCGCTCGTTTGGTTCCAGGGCACTGTTGTGCACTCGTCCTCCTAGCCTAAAGGCCGAACAATGTAAGGCGTATTTGCGATGTGTTTACGGGTGCGGACGCAATCACGGCGTATAGCGGGTGTCCGGACGAGGGCTTCCTAGGCGCCTCGGAATCGGCGTAAATACGGGTGTATTTGTCGATCCGATCGAGACAGATCTTGGCGCTTCGGCGTATATCGGCGTAGAGTATCTGGGAGCGTACGGCGCGGTGCCTGCAAATCAGCTCCCGAGTTGACAGCCAGAAGTTGCTCGAGGATCGGCTTGGCTAGCTATGCGGCCGGCTGGCTGGCTTGACTCAGCCGCCGAAATGGGAACTGTACGAGATCGCTATATCTCTTTGGAACTTTGGAACGAGCGGTGAACGACTCAGGCAAAAGAATATGCCATCTATATGGTGAGCGATGTGAAAAAATGATAAGAGGAAGGATATTGAACAGAGATCGTGGCCATCCTCCTGCCGGGACTTGTTGGCAACTTGGCGATTGCAAGGAACATTTATGGAACAGGCGTTAGAAAATTAGGCTTTCGTAGTTGATTAACATTAAGTTATTTATGTCCCCTTGCGGAACGCAATATTATAGCAGCGGATCTACATTTTGCCTCTTTTCACGAAAAGCGCGAGTCGGACTACACTGAACCAAACGCCGAGGAGACGTCGACGAAAAGCGCCGTGTGCGGTTTGGCGACTTTCCCAACTTCCAATTTGTGAAAAAAGCGCCCGCCAAATGTCATTATTACGCCCGCTGAAACGCGCGTAAATATGTTGAGAATGCGTCCTATGGAGGGTCGGCCTTAATGATACCGTGTTCATCTTTGAACGGTGCAAAGCCTTGTACTGTGGTGTGCTCCATGAAAAAATTTTCGCAGCTTCTGTCTCGTGGGTTGACGATGTTCCTGCACGTTTACACGCATTCCTTGAGTTCAGGGAGAATCTCAGTATTCATGTTGTTATCACAATGAACTTGTCTAGGTCATGGACTGGCCAAGCTCTCCCAATATACCGCTCTGCCGGCGCGTAGAGTTCCTGTATAGGAACCAGGCTACGGCTACGGCTCTGGCTACGGGAGCCAGAGTTGTGCTTTCTTCCCCGCAGCGTCGGCTTTCCTGTATGGCATTCGGGGTCTGCTCCTTACGTGACTGATTTTGGCGAATAGCGGCGCCTCGCGTTCGATGTGCGCGGCGCGCTCAAAAGCAGGAGAACGTACGGCGGGGCGCGCGCAACTTCTACTTTCCTGCACGGCATTTGAGTCGGCTCCTCACGTGATCAGATCTCGGCGAAGAGCGGTGCGGCGGCACGTGGAAAACAGTCACGCAACTCTGGCTTCCGTAGGGTGCCTACACAGGAACTCTACCGGCGCGGGGGGCTCGCAGCGCCATGGGGTGGAATTCCTTGAAACTATGACGCGCGCCAGCCAATGGGAGCCTCGTTCCTTAATAGTATGACGCGCACCAGACAATGCTAGCTTATTCATCAAATCGCTGCCACAGGCTACTGGCTTCGCTCCGTTGGGACGGGAATTTAGGTGCCGTTTGGCACGCGCGGCTTCAGAAGCTGATAACGCCAGTTCGCTCCATGGGGCAGTTAATGAATTCGCATTAAAACGTTCCTTAGTTATGGTCACCAAAGCTGCTGCCGATGGAGTAGAGAGGGCCGCGGCTCTCCTGTCCGTACCCTCCCCTCCTCCTCCTGAAGTGCTGCGCTCTAGTTTCGCGTTACAGCGATTTGTAAACGCCTAATTTTTTCTATATCTCTCCACTCAATTTAACGTGGCCTCAGTCTTTTGTTTCACTTCTTATTATTACATTATACAACTACTACTATTACTGTTACTACTAATTATTATTATTATGATGATAATTATGATTACAAATAAATGTAGCATATATACACATATATATATATATATATCGTTTATTATATAAAATATGTATATATATATATATAAATGGATTGTGTATGTGTGTTTGTATGTTTGTGTTTTCTTATTCTTAAAGTTTTGAGTATATGTGAATATATGCTTTTTTCCCCTCCGATGGGAGTGCGTCTTCGTTCTGCAAATCTTTAATTCTGCCAGAAGTGTTTTAGGTTGCTGTATTGAGTGTGTATCATGCGTTTTTGATGTCTGTGTTGGTGTATGTGCGCACGTGATTATGTGCGAATATTTTAATCGACTTATTATTGCTCGGTCTGGTCACACAAGCACTTGAAAGCTTTGGCCTGACACGAAACTTGAATCTGACTGAAGCACTTGCCACTACCTATTGTTATTATTCTTATTGTGGTTATAATTATTAGTATTGTTATTAGTATTATTAATATTTTTATTATTATATTATCACGAATTTGACTACACTTGTTCGAGTAATGGTAAGTGGTTTTTGAGGGACTACATTGGTTCCTGAAGCGGCTGTAGTTTTAGCCTGTTAGATAATGGAATGTTTTGTTCCTTTTCGCCTGCAGAGTTTGCAAGAGTGCCTGGACCAGCTGGGCATCGACGATGCGGTGTGGTGCTCGCGACCCTCCGACAAGTATTACCAGGTGAGCTTTTGTAACTTTCTTGTTAAAAATAGGTAGTGGTGTAGGGCCAGTTGGTCCATCATGTACAGAAAGGTGGCGCCCAAATCAATGCAAGGACGAAGAGAGGTTCAGAACATAACAAGGTGCTCTGGAAACTAAGTTTAGTGAACAAAACACGTATACTTAGAGTCCAATAGAAAAGGCTAGTCGGCACGAGCCTTTCTCCTTAAGAGCGCAATCCCGAAACCTGATAAGGCTACAGAAGCCTCGCCAACGCAGTCATTTCATTAGGTTTTTATTATGAAACTCGACGTAATTCCTCCGAAGCCCCTTTTCTGTGTCGCGCCACGGTATATTCTCGAAAGCAAACCCATTAAAACACCTTGTGGTTCACTGCACTGTGTGCAGTGAACACTCTAGAAAACACTCTAAAAGCCGGGAGACGTCATAATTAAAATTAGAGGACCGCTTTTACACAACAGAAACAATGAAGGACGTTGATAATTCTCCGTAATACCGAATTAGAGCGCAGTTCTTGAGGAGGACGAGGAAGGGGGGCGTATACCCCTGCTCCCCCTTCCCTCCTCTCATGCTCCCCTCTTATTTAGCGGGAAATGTCCGCTAAATTTTCCGCTAAACTAAGCAAACATTTTCGTGCTAAGTTTAGCGGGAAAATAATCCCGCTAAATTTAGAGGAAAATTTGCCAACATTTTCCTGCCAAAATTAACGGGTAATTCAGCAAAACTTTTCTGCTAAATGTAACGGGAAATTGAATTAGTGTTGTGGTCACGTGACGTCAATTTGCCCACTAAATTTAGCGGGGAAATTTTTCCGCTAATTTTTACGTGATGCGACATCCTTCACGTGACGTCCCACGAGCTGTCAAACGTGCCGTTACGTGTGACGTCATGAGGGTAAAAGTTTCCCGCTTAATTTGGAGGGAAATGTTCCTGCCAAATTCAGCAGATAATTTTTTCTGCTAAAATTGGCAAAAACTTTTCCCGCCAAATTTCAGGTGATATCACGTGTGATGTCACGATGGTAAAATTGGGACATTATCCGCTACATTTAGCAGAAAAATTACCCTGCTAAATATAGCGGAAAAATATCCCGGGTTGAGGCGCATTACATGTGACGTTACGTGACGTCACGTTTAAAATCACAACGGTAAAATTGTCCAGCTAAATATGGCGAGAAATTTTTCCGCTAAGTTTTGCGGGAAATGATCTCCACTAAGTTTAGCGGAAAATTTTCCCCGCTAAATTTAGCGGGAATATTTCACCGCTGAATTTAGCGGAACAACTTTCCCGCTAAACTTAAAGGGGAAATTTCCCGCAAGATTTAGGGAGACAATTTTACCCTCGTGACGTCACACATGACGTCACAAGGGCCGCGGTTTTTGTTGCACACGGACGTGTGCAACAAAAACCGCGGCCCTCTCCACGAAGCTTATAAGGGACATTCCTAATAAATTGCGTTGACTTGAGGTTGGATCTTGCATTTGCTTTGTAACTACTGATAATGCCTCCCGCACGAAGGCGAAACGTCTGATAAAATTGTCTTTTTTGTTGTGTGAAGTCGGTACTCTTATTTTAATTACAACTATACTGGCAAAACAAAAAGAAAGGAACTTAGAGGGAAATGGATGAAACTGAAAAACCTCGAACACGAGGGTACCAAAAAGGGAAAAAAACAGCGCCGTTTCCGTGACTGCGTTAGCGAGGCTTCTCCAAACCTATCACAATGTCAGTTTGAATTTTAAAGGAGAATCTCACGCCGACTTGAACTTGACTAGCTAAGTAGCCATTAGACAATAAGTTTGTTTTGCCAATTAAACTCGGTTCCAACGGGCCTTGTCCTCTATCGGTCTTTGTCCATCCGTTTATTTCGGGGCTCTTCCCTTGTCATGTCCCATTAAACACGCGGATCTGCTGTCTTTTTGCCACGACGAGTCCCTTGATCCACTGCAGGTGTACTTTCCCTGCGAAGCCGGCGAGGACACGGACCTGGTGCTGCGGGTGCTGACGGCTCGCGGCATTGGTTCGGACAAGTCCTCGACCATCGGGTAAGTCTATTCGCTTGCTCGAGCGGCGGCGGCTCACGTGTGTACAAGGGCGGTAGATCGACGTTACCAGTCGTGGTATCGTCGACATTTTACTGCACGGACACGATCCGCAGGCATGCTTGGCGGAATGGCCGCCTGCGTTTGCTGGTATTCACAATCCCCGTGCTCCGAGTCATGCCAGTCTCTCCTATTGGTTGTACGTTTTACTGAAGACGCTGTCATCATAGCAACAGCCCGCTCTCTCAGGGATCGGGAGCTCGGGACACTAAAAGTTCTAGTTTTCCTGTACGAGAACGACGCGTTCCTCCTCTGATTTAAGAACGCGTTCGTAAAAAAACGATTTAGCCACTTCTTACAAAGTACGTAAGTTACGAAATTCTGAGTTAGGTTTTCGGAGCCTAAGGCGCTCTTCGTGAATCTGGTCTCTAATCTAGACTGAAAGTCTTGTAGCATCAACGAAATCAAATCTGTAAGGGCTTCCCGATTGATAACACCAGGGTGTTATCTCGTTTACGGTAAAAGAAGGGAAAGGTATATGAACGGCGCTGCCATGCCACTGAGAAAGCGTGTAGAAGGTTTGACCACATTTCTCACTAACGCTCCGAAATGGCGCATTACGACAGGAGCTCAATGAAGCAACCCAACTTATTGTGTAAATTGAGAGGCAGATACATATCTATATGTATTGACATAAACCTGACACTCATGTTATAAATCCTTCACATGCGAGTAACACTTACTTGCGCGAATAGATTCAAAATGGTGGTAGCATGATTTCAAATTGGACGAATGAGTGTTTTCTAAGCTAAGAGTCGAGTAACTGAAGTGTCTGATATTAATTTTTGTCTGAAAAAGAATAATTTTCGCAAGGCGTTAGCACAAACTATACTGATACGTTTATCCCATCGAAGCACGGAGCTCAACCAGAGACCCAGGTATTTAAATTAGGTGACTCTATTTAAAATTCGTCGTATAAGATATAGGGCCTCCTAATGTTTTGACAAAGGGGCCGGATTAGCGATCTCTCGCAGTCACGAGGGCCGTAAAGAGTTAATATAAACAAAGAAAAACTAGTAAATAAACCTGGATAAGCAAATTAAACACAAAAATAATCTTTCAGTACGTATTTAAAAGAAACAAGGTAGCTGAATACATGTACCTCAAATTCAAGTTTAATACTTAGCTTATTGTGAGGTTATACAACATTTGTGTTGAAGAAAACTCACCCGGCCTGCGTAAAAGCTCATGAGAACTTTGGCACAATCGGGCAGCGCAAAAGACTAATGAGAATAACACTAATGCTGACAATATGTAATAGTTGTGACAGGGGACGCTAAGTACAATGTGCATTAGAACGAATTGGAATTTTACCATACTTGCACAGGCCTGAAGCAGGGGAATTGTAATGCTAATGATGACAACTCTCAATAATGGGCGAATTGTCTCGTTTCACGTTGCAGTCTCTCGCGTTCTTTCTAGTATCTAGGTTTGGGCATTTCAAGCGCGTTGAGCTGCGGCGTTTTTTTACAAGCGCCTCTTTTTGTGCCGCTAGCAGCTGGTCTGCTGGAATCGGGCTGTGGGCAGGCCTTTAATGGAAAGACCGCGTCCAGCCACTCCGCGGGATTGATCTGGCTCGCAGGCCGGGGTTTGAAGACTCCTTGTCTAGATGAAAAAAAAAAAATCGGAGGCTTCTTTTCGTTAGTCATTCATACAAACACTTTTTTTCATGGTTTATACAGATCTGCCATGTATTTCACCATCTCACAACTTTGTCTAAATTGTCATTGAGTTTCCTTTGGTCATTCACACAATTAATTTAATTGTGTATAAGAGAATCGTAGGCATAAAGAGATGTTTTAACGGAAAGATAATCAGGAAGATCTTTCAGATACAATAAGAATAAATGAGGTGCAAGTACCGATCCCTGGAGGACGCGAGAATCTACCGAATGTGAGGATGAACATTCGTTGTTATATCCTACATATTGGTTACAGTTTAAGATATGCCTCTATACAGTCAGCTATGTGATCGATTTTTAAGTAGTTTATTAATTTGCCTGAAAGCTTGATATGCCACACTTATTGAGTGCTTTTGAGTAGTTGATAAAAATAACATCTAGTTGATTCTTTTTGTTTAGAGGAAATGCGAGGTCATGAATTGTTTCGATTATATAAGTAGTAGTGGAAAATTCCGGTCTAAAACCATGTTGCCTTTTTAACAGGACGTCATTGTTTTCGAGAAATAAGAAATATTACTTATGATAGTGCGTTCAAAAAGTTTGCAGATGAATCATGTCAATGAAATAGGCCTGTTATTAGCAACCTCCTGCTCATTTTAAATTTTATGTGAAGGTTTCATTCTGACGATCATCCAGTCAATCGGCAATGTGCTCTCAATTACAGACCTATTGTAATTATCAAAATGTATTTGGACACAAACTACGCATAATGTTTTAAAAACTCGTTCGGTAAGCCTTCTGGTACCCCAGGACTTCCGTAGATCAAGGGTTAAGAGCAAGTTAAAATCCAATTCCGCCTAAAGGAATATTTTTAAGGGGTGGTGAGTTATTGAATTCCGAAAAAGGAGTAACCAATTCATCAGCGCACGTAAACACATAATTTAAATTTCACACGAGTCAGTTCGAATATTGTCATTAAATGTAAATCATTTGAGTTTGTGGTGCTCGGTAAGGTGTGCCTCCAAAGCTTTGTAGTTGAGGTTTTTATAAAGTTGTCAAGGTAAATATTAAAGAACTGAAATTTACCCACGCTCTTTTTTCTTTTTTTGTGAACCTAAAGGCAAGGTTTGCGACTTTATTTTCAAGAGACCTACTTGAAATTTTTTACACTCCGAATTTGAGCGCTGTAGTTGTCGTTTTACGTCTGTAGATTCACGTGTGAGCCATGAATTGTCACTGCTTTGTTTCAGAGTTCGAATTGGTAAATGTTTTTAATACAATGATTCACTATATTCTTAAGCCAGTATTTCTTGGCGTAAGCGCTGTATTGACAGGAACGTTAAAATATGCGTCATATTGTAAATCAAGCCTGTCTAAAATTGAACTAATATCTGCGTTTGCGAAGTCAAGCACTTTTGAATGTTTTGCATCACATTTCAATATCGTACTCTAAAGCGAGAGGAGCACCGCATTGGTGGTCAGCGATACCTTCAACTACCTCGCAGAAAGAGAACTTGGCCTTTGAATTTTCAATCATATAACCTAACACATGAAATACGCGGTCGTTTTTTCTCGCCTCAACGGCAGTCGCAAAAAAATGAAGAAAAAAGAGTAGCGTTTTTCCTCTTAGTTCGCAGCCAGAAGAAGCGGCCCCGTGATCTGAAGCTAATCATATGCCGCCAGTGTTTATAATAGAAACTCGCTGGGGTTGGAAAAGCACGGGGCAAGCGCTGAGTTCTACACATTGTTAAGATTCGGCTATTCCCGTCATCGCATCGATTGGACACGAGCCACAACCCGAATGCATGTCGAAGCATTGATTTTCACAAGCCCAAGCCGCGTTCACGCAGCAGTTCACGTACTGACAGCTGCATTTAAGCTGCACTTGAGTATTGTCACCAAGGGTCCGCAGGCCAACTGTGGACTTGTCGACTATTTCATCAAGTTTTGAGAATGCAAAGGAGAGATTGAAAAAGGGCGTCCGTTTTTATTATTGAAATTACACCGCGTTCAAGGCCTTTCTTAATCAGTGACGTCGCGCACGATCATAGTTGAGTCCCACTATGGCCAGTAAGGTTGTGTGAGGTGGGAAACATTCCAATCAAACATCGTTGCACGGTCCCTTTAGAGCGTCGTTCAGGACAACGTACTTACTCTTGCTTGTAGCATTGGCTTCACTTGTGAGCACAGAGAGTTTATCATGCCGGTTCCTTTGGCCGGCATTTAGTCCCTGCATAGCCGCTCGGGATGTGAAAAGCCTGCTTATGGTGTAGGTTCCGTGTGGTTAACTTTGGTTGTCGCCTAATTATTTTCTGTTACCTTTAATGAAGGCACGCTCTACCACGTTTTTTTAGAAAATAAATGCATCAAAATATTTGAATTGCTGCGGGTGTGATCCTTCATTAGGAATCACGACCTTTTTAAAGAAAGCGAAAGATAGAACTGAAAAGGAGATTGTGGAGGCATTCGTTATCAAAAGGAAGGGTGACAATTAGCACGGCCGCGATCTGTTGATCAGATAAAGAAATGTTCGTGGACGGTTTTGTGTAGTGTCGAGTTATGGTTGACGTATGTATATGCGGTAAGTGTATGAATGATTGTTAGAATGGCCTTGCAATAAATCAGTCGAAGGTCAGCGCCTCTTCATACCGTTCGTGCTTTCTACCCGCCTTTGTCTCTTCTGCATTCTTTAGCCTTTTACCAAATGAATTAGCTTCACAAGCACAAAAAATAAACAGACCTTCCGCAATTTATTTTGAGTCGGCTTAGACCGTTTGGTGTACGGCGTATTAAATAAGTGAATTGTCTAATTTACAATTTTGGAAATGGCGTTCTTCAGGAAGTCTACTCCACGAAGGTAGCCAAATATTTTGAGTAAAACACGCCGGAAAATATAGCTTAATCATAGCTAGTAGACAAAATTAACGAAGTAGACGAACACAGGAAGAACTACAAGACAGGACAGAGCGCTACTTATTAACTGACGTTTTATGAGAGGATAGAAGAGGATAGAGGAAGACAAAGATAACATTGAGACTAAGATCATACAAGGAGAAGAAATAATATGCTAAAAAAGGAAAAAGGAAGAAGACAAAATACAAAAAAAATTAAGAAAGAGGATACGAATAAAGGAAAGGAGACAAAATTATACTAAGAAAAGAAAAAAAAACAGTACTGAAAATTCAAAAAGGAAGGAAACTTATGAAAAATAGTGCAGGTACTGAAGTTATTTCGTTGACACAGTTTACCGACGAAGTACTAGCACACGCATCCCCCACGAAAGAATTTCAGTACCTGCACTATTTTTAATAAATTTGTTTCT